CAAATATGCAAACAATAAAGGTCTACTATTTGTTTTTCTTGTGTCACTATTTTTTGTCTAAAAGAACAAAGGCCATACAAAAAGTAGCCGTGTAATTTTGAGACAAATAAATGAGACGCCTCGTTATTTTAAAGGAAATTTCTTTTAACAGCCAGGTTCTTGATAAAGGCATTCGTTCTAAGAAAGGGATGTCAAATCTTAAACAAATATATCACACAATTGTCATAAAGTAATACTTTATTCATATTCATTCTTTGTCTTAATGGTTTTAATAAATTTGACAATTTCAGCAAAAATTGTAATGCTCAACAAAACTCAAATCCTCAATGTGTAATTCTTAATTACTTAGTACTTTATAAGAATGACTGACCAAACAACAATATATTATGTTTGTATGTTACTATTTCTCAAAAAATGCCCTTTACTATCAAAAGTAATTTTGCTTTGCACGTCCATGTTTGGTTGAATTAGTTGAATAAGTTAAGTCACCAAATTCTTTCATACCCTGGGGTATATATTATTATTAAAGGCTTTTTATGTAAATTTCAACAATCAATGTGTTTTTTTCTTTAATATTCGAAATAACCAAATTGGAAGGTAAGAGAATATACTGTTTTTACAAATGTCTGGTGGCTAGATTGATGTTTGGGATAGTCGGTCTACATTTGATAATTCACCACTCTACCGTTTCTGTTCAATAACCGGAAAATCCTTTGTCAAAACAAGCTGTGAGATTGTCATAACTTAGTGAATTTAAAGATTTCGAACGTATATTGAGATTGGAGAGTTAAAGGTCAACAATACAATATCCTTTAATGTAAGACTTTTCAGCAATGTACCTGTAATATCGTTTGAGGCGTAGCCACCGGACTTTGCAGGATAAGTATAACCAGCTTTTAATTTTGGCTTGGTTTGTCCTTGAATGTTTTCGGTACCAGATGTCATAGATCATGAAACATGAAAACAACCCAGAAACACAGGACCACCGGCAAGGGCCCAATAGGACACCAAAACAAAATCAGGAGAAATCATAAGAGCAAAGCACAGACGAGGCGCAATTTTAAATTTTACAAAAAAACATCATAGAAAACGACTAGACGATAGCGAAAAATTTGGAAAATAAAATAAATGTAAACCAATGGTCTATACAGACAGATCAAGAATGGGGTCACAAACGACCAACGCCGAACAGTCTCTGAGGATGAAAATATGATAACATTGATTGTCTATAGTATTCATATTGCATAGCAGGATTGCCACTGTTTTACGCTTTCTCTTATTTTTCATTATTATTATCAATATCATCATCAAACTTCAGCAACCAACTGTTGAATTTTAAAATAGAATGTTATTTGATCATTAGATAATAAACGCGTGTCAAGAAACGTGAGTCTATTAGGCGCTTCCTTAGGCGGCGCTTTTTAGAAGGGCACACAACTAATTGGAAAGACGAAATATTGCCAGTAATGCTTATAATATCAGCACACGTCATACAACCGATAGCATCTACTAACACTTAAATACGTGCAACTTAAACATAAGCGTATAAACACAAATAAACACTACCCGCACACATGAAGTTCATCCTTTGCACCGCAAATAACTTCACAATTAAGAACATCCGTGGCCTACAATTCAGGTTTGTGAATCAATATTCTTGTTTGCATGTTCTTGTCAAAAAGACGGCTTCTCCACATGTTGTTATAATATTGCCAATATTACCAATATTACGAGAGACATTTAAAATTCTGTAAGAAAATACGACACTGTTATATGCTTTAACGTTTTATCTGCATCATCTATCCGTTCATATGTACCATTTCACGAGGTCAACAACTTTTAGCTGATGTAAATAGATAATAAATAATAATGATAATGAAGTGTTATGCTTAAACAAAGATCAAAAAAGAAGTGCGCATGTTGATAAATACAGGGGAACCAACAGAGATGAGTTGGCGTTATGTACTGGATACACGAAAATAACAGGTTTTTCGTGAATGGATTGTCACATCCAATTTACACAAGCAAACTCTATGATTGAAATTTTTCTGAAGAATCACTTGATTAGTTGGTAACAAGATGTGATTGGGATATGGGTAAACACAGTAAATATGAGCTAAAGGACAAACACTTTCTTCTTCTATTGGTTTCATCACTATAAATAATACCAGTTCTAAAGTGTCAAGAATTGCCTGTTCTCTGTGCACGATATTCTCTGCCATACTATCAAGAGAAAGGTTATTTGGTGTTTTTTGTTGTTTTTTTTCATTTATTTTATCCGTCATTTATTACCATTCTTTTGTATGTCCCAATAATTAAACTTTGAATAGATCTAAATTTAATGTTTGCATGATTGTTCTTTTTATGTAAGAATATATTGCTGCCAAAATGTATTACCTCGTTATTCATTATTCTTGGGTACACGCTGTCTTTTGCTTTGAGACAAAACGCCGCTTTTCATGGAACTGCACGAAAGTGTCGCATAGACGGTTATATGATAATCGCCGTATGAACACATAATTATGTGGATGTTTGTTACGCAAAATGCACCATTTAAATGTTTAAACGTTGAATTCTACTTAATTTGCTGCTATGGTGCATGAACATTCTTAATCAAATCGAGTCTGCAACATTTTCAATTTTGCCTTTTGGGTATTATTTAGGTATTCCGGTTTTCTCTATTTTCTATTTTGATAAATACTAAAATGTTTTACTGAAACGAAATCAAACTGCATATCCGCTGTCATGCACTAATTCTAGTATATGAAAAATGTACATGCTGACTGAGGACGAAAAAGCACGCTCCGTAAATATATCAAATATGCAACATAGCGTGCGTAGTGATTCATAGGTCTTCCAATCAATGGATCGCTTATTCGATGCCTCTTTTCTACTAAAATCAATCGTCATCTTGATTAATCTTTCTAATGTGACTTTAGCAAAAGAGATCCCACGTAACAGTGCTTTACATTATACCTGATTTGTTTACTAGATGGAACAGTAAATAATTTGTAACAGTATCCCAAAGAAGTAAAAAAATAACTGGTAGTATCCTGAATAAATCCGCTGTCGACTTAAATAAAAGTCAATTTATTTTAAATATGTCTGTTTCAAAGGCATTCAAAGGTATACATGTCCTTTTTCAAGAACTGTTCGTATTGATAACAAAATCACAGACCTGTTGTGTTATGCTATGTACAGTAAAGCTATTGACAGCTAAAAATATATAAATAGATTTTAATTAATTTAAGTAAAACAAGGTGAAGTTTGTAAAATTAACAGTCAGACATTTTTAATATGAGGTTTGACAATGTATTTTAACTGATAACATCGATAAATTTCTTAATTGCTTTGCAACTGTCGTACTTTTATTTCACGATACGCATTTATTGTATTATGATGTATATTTAAGTGTGCTCTTATTTCAGTAATTAGCATGACATACGAGGGTTGTCAAAAAAATTCGTGCACGGCAGTTATTGTCGCAAGAGTTATTGATAAAAAACATGAATTATATATCACTGGAAGAGGAAATCTGTCTCAAATAAGAAAACAAAAGAAATAGCAGTGAACCCGGCGTGTCGTGAAAACGAATCGTCATACTGTTATCTTGGTTACATAATACCGGCGCTCAACAAAAAATTGGGTTAGTTCATTACTTTAATGCATCACTGTTATCTTTAAACACTACATATAAACGTTAAATTTCAGGGAAAGGTGTGTGTACGTATTATTGACGTTATTTGAAAATATGACGTCATTTGCCATATTGTAAACGTCGTTAACAAGTATTTCTGTGTGGTCGTCAATACTGTAATTACGCGAAAATGTCAGTCGCTAAACGTCTGGTAATACGGGCGATCACTAAAATTGGTGCAAGTATTGGTAAAACACTGACAGATACCTACAAAGAATTTAAAAAGCAAGCGGGACGAAGGCTTTTTTTGGTTTTAAATGGCAGAAACGCTCTGTAGAGTTTGGGTAGACAATGATAACCGGTCAGGCAGACCTCCGTGCGTTATGCCGGCGCATGTGACGAGGGTTGTCACATATATTCGTGCACTGGTGAATATGTTACATGTACGTTGCATATGAACAATAAAAACTTCAAAAATACCTGCCATCAGTCATTCTCGGATTGACAGTTTAAACAGAATTATGACATAAAAAGCAAAGCCAATTTTACAAAGCAACCAGAAAATAATACAATAACAGTAATGAATTAACCCGATTTTTTGTCGTGCGCCGGTATTACGTTACTAAGGTAACTTAATGACAATTCTTTTTCACGACACGCCGGTTATACGGTCTTTTCTTTTGTTTTCTTATTTGAGACAGATTTCCCGCTCAAATGATATATAATTTATGTTCTTTTATTAATGACTCTCAAAACAATAACTGCAGTGCACGAATTTTTTGGACAACCCTCGTAAAAATGACACATATACATAGTATGTGTGTATGTATGTATGTCTATAGTATGATAAAAGTCTTTATCAAAATACTCGTACTTGTGATAATTATAAGTGCTTTGAAAGTCAATGCATTGATGATTCATCTACCTAACCAGTAGTATGATTTGAAAATAACAAAAAAACTTGATTTACTTTAAAACTTCTCCAAAACCCAAGAATAGATGCTTATCATTTTGCATCAACTTATGGTCTTCTAATTTTTGTGTTAACTATTCCCTTAAGATCACAATTGAGTTTTACAGACTTGTCTTCAAAACAACACTTATATTATGAGGAAAACTACAATGTCAGGACCTTAGAATGTTTATTTATAAGAAGACCTCTTCAGATTTATTTCAATCATTCACCTAGGGTCAAAACTGACGCATTAATTTTGTTATTATTACTTAACTAAACATCAGACAAGCAATCAAGATGCAGCATGTGTTAATATTTTGCCGGTGAAGTTGATGTCACATTGTTGTAATACTTAAAACAATTAGAAAGAACTACTCATTCACTTTAGTTAAAACACCGGATAAATTATAACATGAGGAAAATATTAAGGAATAAACTTTTCTTCCTTTTTTCATATTCTTAAGCTCATTACTATAAATGATACTGAATCTAAAATGTCAACGGTTGTCTGTTCTCTGTGCATGTTATTTTCGGTCTTATTATTTACAGTGATTATACCTAGCGAAGGTAAGTTTGAGTATTATCTTATCTTATTTACGTATTCTCTTATAGGTCGTGCTTTAAACATTTATTTTTGATATAAGTGTTCAGTTATGAAAATGATTCGTAAATATGATACTGTAGAGAACACGAGAACAACCTAAATTGTAATAGCTTGGCGCTATTACAAGTATCATTTACAACTTAATTGGCAAGCTTGGCGCTGTTGTAACTTTAACTGTATGGCTTGGCTCTGCTTCAACCGAAATTGTTTTAGCATAGCAATGTTACAACCGTAATTGTAATAGCTTCCTACTGTAACAACTATCAAATTATGTAACAGCATAGCGCTGTTACAACCTTGCTTGTAATAGCTTGACTGTTATAACCTAAAATGTAATAGCTTAGCAAAGTAGCAACTAACATTCTTAGCACTAAATCATTCTCAATTGTAATAGCTTTACGTTTTATCAGACTGAATGTTAAAATTTTGGCTAATTGTATTAACATCATGTTGTTGTCCCATACATTTTAATAGCCTAGCACGATAACAACCTGAAATATAATAGCTTGTAGCTGTTACAAACTTGCTTGTTATAGCTTTGCGTTGTTACAAACAGAACTATAATAGCTAAGTACAATAACAACCTGAGATGTTTATAGCTTAGCACTGAAGCAACCAACTTGTGATAGCCTACCACTGTAACAACCTGAATCGTAATAGCTTTACGCTTTGACAAATGAAATGTAAGAGGTAAGTAATGTATTAACCTGAATTGAATTAACAGTTTGGAACTGTTACACCATTTATTTAACAACTTGGCTCTGTCAGACATTAATTGTAATACTTTTGCGCTTTAACGTCCTGAATTGTAATCAATTGGCGCATTAACATTTTGAATTGTCATAGGTAACCTTGCGCGGTTACATTGCTGGATGGAAACTACGAAACTTTAACTTGAAGGTTTGATGCAAGAGTATAAAATTGTATCATATTTTTAATTTATGTATCACATCATAATTGCTTATAAGTAAATGAAATCATTATAACTTTTACAATACAAAAAGTGTATTACACTTGTATTAGAACTTCTTAGAAATGGTCAAACTCAGTATATTTACAGCTTATATATTACAGTTAATACAAGTCTTGCTATGTTTTCAAGCTATAGACAATCAGTGTGGAACCGTCTCTCTCAGAACCGAAAAGGTGGTTGAAAATGGGACCGTGAAAATTGAGTATCGTCCGTCAAGTAATGCAATGCATTACAGAGATAGCCTCGAACGTAAATGGTCACGTTATGTCGGAAGGTATGGCAAAACATTAAAATTGAATGCTGGTACTTACACAGAGAAAAAAGAGCAAAATTACAAATATGTGTTGACAATATACAGGTTCAATGTTTCTATGAATGGACAATATAGGGTTCATTGTGGTTCTCCTATAGGAAGGTACACAGATCCTGTTACCGTGAACTTACCAGGTTTGTGTGTGGTTCTTAACTGGAAATAAACTCTTAAGATCATTAGAAACCTTTGCAGAAATACATATTTTACGTAAAACAAATAATAAAAGAGTGTAAAGACACATTGGCATACATTGAATGACACTTATAACGCAACAATTTTCAAAATTAATTTAAGATTTCATTCTTAAATTTCATCAGAACTGGTTTACCATCTGCACATGAATGATGATTGCATGTAATTACAAAAGTGTGCTCGCCATCGGCATGCGTCAAACAAGCTAGTCAAAATCAGAAAAAAACATTCTTGCCACTAGTAAGGAACTGATAAAATATTGACATTTGTGAACACGAGCTTTTATATTTTCACGAAGTGGCGTGGCCACGAGTAGTAATATAATAGCTGGTGTTCAAAAGTGAAATATAATTTGATCTTGCATACAAAACAAAGAAATTTTCTATTTACTTCATGTCTTTTATGGGTTTCAAGTCACTTTTACGTAATGAAATACATCTCATGACATAATCAAATCATAACGTCACGTTGTTTAATACAATTCTGTTAGAATTTACGATTTTATTTTTATTTTTTTTAATTGATTTGTTCATGTGATACTCGTACCCAAGCACATTTTACCCATGAAGGGCGTATTTCTGAAGATATGTCCACCCATTTAAAGATATATATTTTATCCACATTCATACATGGGCCCAGTACGGCTACTATTGGAGTTATATTTTATAAATTCTATAAGTATATATCTATAAGAACATAATAGATTAAAATACTTATTTCATTTTTTTTTTCACAAAAAGTATCATCATAAAAGTTCTAAGCACTATTTAAGCAGACTATTCTAATATTTTCAAATATTGAAAAAGAAAAACGAAAGAAACATAATTATACAGTCATATATATTTCAAAGCAAGATAAAGATGTGAGAAAAAACTATCACTACATTCAAGAATATATTCGGTGATAATTGCTGATGTAAAATCGTCGTATAATATCATTAATAAATTTTGTAATGATTTTCGCGTTTAATGTTGTATTTCTTTTTGTTAGTTTTAGTTTTATTAGTTCTTTCTTTGTTGTAAACAAATAGTATGCATAATTTTCAGAACCACCAAGTGGACCTCTGTAATAGTTGGTCTACAAGACATAGAAAATTGCAGGGACTGTATTGTTGCTGATGATAATAAACGATCGCACTTGCCTGTGTGATACACGGTGGTACCCGTCCTCTGACCATTACCATGACAATAGGAAATGAGACATATTGCCCTCAAAATAAATCAAACCCAACAACCTATATGGTATTTTTCACAGTTAGGGACCACCATCACATGAAAAATGTGATATTTTCAGTCATGAATGATGCATTGTCGTCACCTTTGAAAGCTACCGCTCAGATGTTTGTTATAAGTAAGTATACTATACACATTTATGTTATTTTAAGCATGCATACTAAAAGGACATGGAAAACAAACGCTTTGCATAAGAGTGTTTTCACAACAAAAGTACTTATAACAAAAAAAAAATCAAAAAAATTTGCTTGACCTATTTATTACTGTTAATAAGACACCAATTTAAATAAAATTAATAAATTAATAAAGGAATTATTGCATGATGAATGGTGTTCAAATAATTGAATACTTTTGGCCACATTGAATACATTTTTTATGTTGTGTCGTCGTGGTTATTGTAGGTGTGTTTTTTAACCCTTTCCCTCATGAGCATATTGTGAAAAATGGCCGTTTTCACTGAAAAGCCTCCTCTTACAAGTTCAAACTTCTATGAAACTATGAAAAATGCTTTAATACAAATCAAACTTGGCACAAATGTTGACTGGACCATTGCCTTTGTAACGACATGCTCAGTCGTAAATTTCCTGCTACCATGACAACGAGGGGACATCTCAAAATTGCCCAAAATCACTATTTTGCCTCGATTTTTTCCATCAAAATTTATTTCAAAGTGCTGCAACTTCTCAAGGGATTGAGGTAGAGTCAAAGGCTTTTCAGCGTTGTTTACACGTTATCTTATGATCGACCTGGGGTAATTTTAAGCCTCTCACAAGTCCAAAGTTTTCTTGGCGATGAGGGGGACTCCGCCCCGCTTCAAATCCCCTAAACAGAAGGGGGCGCATCCCCCTTCTGGCAACCCCTGATGTATCTTTTGGACGGGGGGCGGCGCCGAAACAGTGCTTACTTTTTTAAACAAGATTTCTCAAACAACAACATGTGTTTGGGGCCCAAATAGGACATTTTTTCACTATTTCAGGCCTAAAAAAGGGGGGGGTCGAAAGTGCGTTGTTTCGCGTATAAATGTGGTAAAGGGTTAACAAAAAATGATGAAAAACTTTGGAATCACCCAAAATCTAGTTATTCCATGTTAACATGTGGTCTTTTATATAATTTTGGTGAAAAATTGTTGTTTTTGTAACATTTATAATTTTTTAAGTTAACCCTTTCCCTCATGAGCATATTGTAAAAAAATGGCCGTTTTCACTGAAAAGCCTCCTCTTACAAGTTCAAACTTCTATGAAACTATGAAAAATGCTTTAATACAAATCAAACTTGGCACAAATGTTGACTGGACCATTGCCTTTGTAACGACATGCTCAGTCGTAAATTTCCTGCTACCATGACAACGAGGGGACATCTCAAAATTGCCCAAAATCACTATTTTGCCTCGATTTTTTCCATCAAAATTTATTTCAAAGTGCTGCAACTTCTCAAGGGATTGAGGTAGAGTCAAAGGCTTTTCAGCGTTGTTTACACGTTATCTTATGATCGACCTGGGGTAATTTTAAGCCTCTCACAAGTCCAAAGTTTTCTTGGCGATGAGGGGGACTCCGCCCCGCTTCAAATCCCCTAAACAGAAGGGGGCGCATCCCCCTTCTGGCAACCCCCTGATGTATCTTTTGGACGGGGGGCGGCGCCGAAACAGTGCTTACTTTTTTAAACAAGATTTCTCAAACAACAACATGTGTTTGGGGCCCAAATAGGACATTTTTTCACTATTTCAGGCCTAAAAAAGGGGGGGGTCGAAAGTGCGTTGTTTCGCGTATAAATGTGGTAAAGGGTTAACAAAAAATGATGAAAAACTTTGGAATCACCCAAAATCTAGTTATTCCATGTTAACATGTGGTCTTTTATATAATTTTGGTGAAAAATTGTTGTTTTGTAACATTTATAATTTTTTAAGTTAACCCTTTCCCTCATGAGCATATTGTAAAAAAAATGGCCGTTTTCACTGAAAAGCCTCCTCTTACAAGTTCAAACTTCTATGAAACTATGAAAAATGCTTTAATACAAATCAAACTTGGCACAAATGTTGACTGGACCATTGCCTTTGTAACGACATGCTCAGTCGTAAATTTCCTGCTACCATGACAACGAGGGACATCTCAAAATTGCCCAAAATCACTATTTTGCCTCGATTTTTTCCATCAAAATTTATTTCAAAGTGCTGCAACTTCTCAAGGGATTGAGGTAGAGTCAAAGGCTTTTCAGCGTTGTTTACACGTTATCTTATGATCGACCTGGGGTAATTTTAAGCCTCTCACAAGTCCAAAGTTTTCTTGGCGATGAGGGGACTCCGCCCCGCTTCAAATCCCCTAAACAGAAGGGGGCGCATCCCCTTCTGGCAACCCCCTGATGTATCTTTTGGACGGGGGGCGGCGCCGAAACAGTGCTTACTTTTTTAAACAAGATTTCTCAAACAACAACATGTGTTTGGGGCCCAAATAGGACATTTTTTCACTATTTCAGGCCTAAAAAAGGGGGGGGGTCGAAAGTGCGTTGTTTCGCGTATAAATGTGGTAAAGGGTTAACAAAAAATGATGAAAAACTTTGGAATCACCCAAAATCTAGTTATTCCATGTTAACATGTGGTCTTTTATATAATTTTGGTGAAAAATTGTTGTTTTGTAACATTTATAATTTTTTAAGTTAACCCTTTCCCTCATGAGCATATTGTAAAAAAATGGCCGTTTTCACTGAAAAGCCTCCTCTTACAAGTTCAAACTTCTATGAAACTATGAAAAATGCTTTAATACAAATCAAACTTGGCACAAATGTTGACTGGACCATTGCCTTTGTAACGACATGCTCAGTCGTAAATTTCCTGCTACCATGACAACGAGGGGACATCTCAAAATTGCCCAAAATCACTATTTTGCCTCGATTTTTTCCATCAAAATTTATTTCAAAGTGCTGCAACTTCTCAAGGGATTGAGGTAGAGTCAAAGGCTTTTCAGCGTTGTTTACACGTTATTTTATGATCGACCTGGGGTAATTTTAAGCCTCTCACAAGTCCAAAGTTTTCTTGGCGATGAGGGGGACTCCGCCCCGCTTCAAACCCCCTAAACAGAAGGGGGCACATCCCCCTTCTGGCAACCCCCTGATGTATCTTTTGGACGGGGGCGGCGCCGAAACAGTGCTTACTTTTTTAAACAAGATTTCTCAAACAACAACATGTGTTTGGGGCCCAAATAGGACATTTTTTCACTATTTCAGGCCTAAAAAAGGGGGGGGGGTCGAAAGTGCGTTGTTTCGCGTATATATGTGGTAAAGGGTTAACAAAAAATGATGAAAAACTTTGGAATCACCCAAAATCTAGTTATTCCATGTTAACATGTGGTCTTTTACATAATTTTGGTGAAAAATTGTTGTTTTGTAACATTTATAAATTTTTTAGTTAACCCTTTCCCTCATGAGCATATTGTAAAAAAATGGCCGTTTTTCACTGAAAAGCCTCCTCTTACAAGTTCAAACTTCGATGAAACTATGAAAAATTCTTCAATACTAATCAAACTTTCGCGTATATATGTGGTAAAGGGTTAAGAAATATTTGAGAACATTGATGAAATAAAATGTATATTTTCGTTTCCGCATTTGTAACATCAGCGCAATGCAACATACTTACCAAATATTTACTGGTATCTTACAGGACTACTGCTTCTAAAGTATATTATTTAATGAAATTTAAGTTTTTTCTAAAAATACCGGAATTATTTTTATATCATGGTAAGAAAATTTCATATTTCATAACAATTATTATGAAATGTAATATTATGAGGTGTGTGAAATATTGAATTCGATTGGACGAGTTCAAAATAGTCAAGTCTATATTTGGCGATGCGCTAGTCAGGTCTGATATAGGTTGATTGCAGCTGTGTACAAGTCAAATAAACTGAGTATAGTTCTCAATATATACATGTTGTTTTTTTTTTAAATTTTGGCATTTGACCTATTATGAATAAAATGATATTTCATTGAAAAACATTTAGAGCCTCCAGTTATAGGGTTCAATATATCTGGATCGACATTAAATATTTCTGAAGGAGAACGGGCACATGTTAAATGTAAAGCTGACAGTGTTCCCGCCTCCAATGTTTCATGGACTGAAGAGTTGAGAAATGGAAACATAACAAAGAAGCAATGTTACTTGACACCAAATTGCGTATTAAATATTGATACTGATGAAGTTTCAAACACGCGTTTCAAATGCCAGGTTCACTATAAGACAAAAGTTTACCACAAATATTTGACTATTCACATAAAAGGTAATGTTTTATATCCATGTTCTGTTAAATGGGGGTTTAATGCACATGAAAAAAATTAAAAGTTTAACAAACTTGAAATGTATCCACATTAATATACGCTTGGCCATGCCGTCACGTCTCTGTAAAACGATTACAATTGGCCTTTAATTTATTTAGATCGTCCATGTCAGACAGAATAATGTACAACCTTGATACACATTAATTCACAAAAGGAATAACCACTTTCTGGACATTATCATGTAATACCTGTTTTCTAATACATGTGTATAAATAATTTTCATTTAAACAATTTGAAAGTGTCATTAGCCAATCATAAAGAAAACTTTATATGTTTGTAGATAAAGTTGATGAAGACGATAAGTACAATAACAAACAGGGAACGACCGGCCAAACGTTGGACAAATCAATAATATGGATAATACTGGGTGCATGTGTACTTTTGGTCGTCATCATTGTCATAGCGGTCTTGTTTATTGTCTTCAGGAAAAAAGATCAAACTCTTGAAGGTAAGATAAGATAAAGGCTCGAAACGGACGACTTATTGATTATGAGTCCTGTTGTTAAAACTAGTCAGTAGGAAACTTGGCCTTGCTCACTGTAGATCTTTGACCTCCGAGTTTTGAGCTGAGAGATACACAACATAACGCCTTTATAACTAAACCATATTTTTGCATATTTACATCCATGTATATACACATAATATAAAATGTTGGTATAGTATTAGAAAGTTAATCATTCATATGCTTACTTCCTTTAATTTCTTATTGTTTATTTTATGCTATTCTGGTATTTCATCCAATTTAACACGTTAAGGTCATATCCAGGCTTTCCTAGATAACTAACCTGTAATTACAGTAGACTAAATTGTCACCACGAAATTTAGCCTCTTCCTATGATCGAGCCCGCGACCCCTAGATTACAAGTGCTTTATGCTTTCAAAATTAATGAAATTTTATTTGTTTACAAATCAGTAAACTATTTGATTATCAATTTAGTTTAATATCTCCCATCTTCGCACACCTTGAATTCTTTCATTTCAACGAATGATCAGTTTTTAATTTTGCCTTGAAATGATATACCAAAAAAGATAGTTATTTTTAAAGCAACGTTAAAGTAATTGGTATCTCTGCAAAATGTTTGTGCATGTATTTTCACAGTATTAGTTATATTTCCATTTCTTTTTTCAAACATGACAGATAAGAGAGAAGGTCGGGTACATCACCACACACAGGAGGGCCATACAAGGTTAGGGCGTTGTACACGTTATAATTATTTGATGCGCGTTTACTGTCGAAAAAATATTTTTGACTAGTAATTTAAAAGCTAGATATTACAAATCCATTTTCATGTCCCGCTTCTTTTGTCTTTGGAAAGTAAATGAACAGAACGTTATCTATTTATTAATTGGTCGTCAATCTTTTAAATGTATCGTTATTATCAACAATATCTACAATATTTTTATTTTACTATGAAACATGTTCTTGTGCGAATAACATATTGTAATAACTGAAACATTTTTTAATGATTTGTACATTTCAGAGACACATTATTTACTTTTCTATTTTATATTGTTTGTACATAACAAGTATATTACTTTTTTACCAAGATGTACTATACAAAAGTCGGAGGATCGCCAAGCGGGAAATCAAAACGAGCATGCGCTAGATAATGAGGCCAAAGAGAATCGTCAAGAAGGAAATCTGAAGCAGAGCGGGAATCGGATACATGATGATGACGACGTTCCTATATATTCTCAACCAGTAAAAAAGAAGACGACAGAAAACCCAGACAATATCTATGCGCAAGTAAACAAGACAAGAAAATCCGCTCCTTCTCCTTCTTCTGCCAATTCTTCAAAAGTGGAAAAGGTACTATTGTATTGCATATTTGTTTGTTTGGTTTAAAAATTAAACAGATGTACATGTATAGGTATAATTTATACACTTAAATGGAAACTCATTGTTCTAGGTAAACTTCATATTTGATTTCATGATTTACTGGAGTGGACATTATATGTAAGAGCTATTTAATTAGATAAATTATATTTACCTATGATTCAAATAGTATAACATCTGATTAATTATGTGCCTGTGATTGATTCACTTTAAGCTTTTTCGTGCACAGGACGGACAATTGCTGTATGCCGCCCTTGCCTTTGATCCAAATGCGGCTCCGTCAAAAGCAGCAGTTGCCAAACAAGAAGATTCACCCACAGAGTATGTTGATATAGATTATGTGAAGACGAAAGCTAATAAGTAAATTAATGATGACCCTACGAAACAGGAAAATTTGTAAGCTCATTGACAGGATTTTTATTAAACGAGTGGTGTAAATACTTTGATTATACATTTCAAAACTATTATTGTCACAATGTGTTTTTCTTTTTGTATATTATTCTGCAAAGTTTATTACGCATGATTTATTGGAAAAAGAAACATTCATGAAAACAAAGTATACTACAGAATTGATATAGACACGTATGTTTGTGTCTTTGTCAAGGTTTATTGAAAAGATTTGGCTAGTTGTGAATAAGTTTTATTATATTTGAAAAGTTCCGTGTCATTAGGTTTTACTTGATATTTGTACAGTTGTATATTCTTGAACAATGTTTTTAGGCATTTATCTTTAAGGCTTGCATAGTGTGACACGAAATGAATTGAGTTTATTATCAAAACAATTAAATCTTAAAATAATAATAATTAAGCCTGTTATATTTACTTCTTTTCATTGCACCTTTTAGCTTGAAGTCCTTTTGAAATATTTGTATCTATAAAGTGAGAAGAGTTGTTTTTCAGTTATACAGGAACACCAATCATTCGAACTTTTTTTATTTATGCACTTTTAACTCAGAAGAAAATTATTTTATGAATATGTTTAACAATTCATTTCTTATTATTTATTTTATTATTAATGTTTTATTTTTTAAGATAAGGTAATTTTATTTTCCAATGTACTACTTTGCATTTTACACTACAATACTGATGTCCAAAATTCTTAACGGAGAAAAATCACGGCAATGTTAAATACTTTTATATACAAATAACAAACACAAAGTGACGAGTGGAATTACCCAAGCCGAACTCCCCTATGGAATTTTGAGAATAGTATATATAAAGACAACCTGTCATAAGGACACTTTATAATGTATATAAATACACGCGTTTTAGAGTTACATATATAAATCATTTTGACATAAGCTAGTCCGCATGCATCCTGAAACTATAATACTCATAAATCATGTCATGTTCCATAGTGCACATTATGAAATAAAAACCTTAATATATGTATATACATGTTGACTTGTCATTCTTTTTGAATATAGTGTGTATGACTCATTAGCCTGTGCAACCAGCTATACGACAATTCCTCCTTTACTTATATAAAAAAAATTTAAAAAAAAGTTTTAAACAAGGTATCAAATATCAAATATTTCAAACTCGTTCTAACAAATTTAAAAAAAATCTAAAATCAACTTGACATCTGTTTTAGTAATATCCGGTCAGAGATGTCCGGTCAGAGATGTTATCTAACGACTTTTGTTACTTTATTTTGAAAAGAAAAAAAATCACCTTAGGTCATATAATCTCTGATTGGTCAATTGAATATCGTGTGTAACCTTTTCATGTTTGAATTCATTTTAATAGAGAAATTTTGGATAGATACAATGTAGCACAGGTAAGTTTACTTTTGATATTAGTTTTAAAAGTTTTGAATAAGTAAAATAATAATTATTGTTAAATGGTCGATTAATCTTTATGCAAAAAAAATACAAAAATAATATGTTAAAGTAACATAAGGTAAATATTATAGCTTTATAAGTTTTTCAATAAATATTAAATTTCCTTTATTTCATCATAAAAAAAAAAAAAAAAAGTTAATTTCTAGTGATTTAGTAAACATAAAAACAAACAAATAAGTTAACAATTTTCAAAAGAACAAAATTATTTAAAGAATATTAATTAGAAAAAACTTTAAGGTATAGAATTTAACAGAATTATTGTATGATATAGAGTAGAAAGAATATTTATATACGAAAAAGTTTAAAAAAATATTATAAACAATTGATAATTGATAAAATGTTTCCCAGGTGTTTCATTTCATGTAAAACGTGTATTGTGCATGCGCATTGAACACTTCCTGTGACACGTAATATTTTTGTAACAGGTACTTGCTGACATCAGTATGGCTTTAGTCTTCGTGACGTAGTCGGGAATTTCAAATCGTTGGTATGTAGCTTTCTAAAGAATAATTTTAAATTGACACTCATAATTGTTCATAAAATGGTTGATGTTGTTGAAGATTCTTTAAAATTTATATATATGTATTTGATATTGTGTAAACGTAGACTTTATACACAAGTTGATAAGTTTATATTCGAATATTTATTGGCACATCTGTAAACGCTATCTTGTTTCGTCGTTGTAAAAAGAATGTCTTGTATTGACAATACAACAAAGTGATGATAGATCTATAATTCTTCATTTATGTAGCAATGTTTTTGAGTAAAAGATAATTAATTTAACAGTTTTTGCTGTTGCACGATTTGCAATGTTTATGTGATATTTATTTTGGATATCTCTGTCGCGCACAAATAATTATTTTGATAAGAAGTTGTCATCAGTATTTCTCTGGTTTTTTGTTTTTTTTTTAAGTTTATATAACACATAGAAAAACACATTCTATTGATAAACGGAAGTTTTCGGCTTCTCTGGTTGAAGACAGGAATAAAAGTTTATTTGATTCCACAATTGTTGTTGTTGTTGTTGTTGTTTACGGCTGTAACAGCATAGTTATGTATCTAAAACATCGTAGACGGTTATTTCATATAATTTTAATCGAAGAAGGTGTTTATGGTTATATCTGCGATGGTTTACATCGAAGAAGGTGTTTATGGTTATATCTGCATGGTTTTTGTTTGTGTACAATAGTTTTGACATCGTAGAGGCTGACTGTAATATTTCTAGTCAGGCGGTGTTTTACTGTACCGGCGAATTCGCTCGCACTCTCATGTCTTGCTGGACGACAAGTGATCGTTAGACCAATATTTTGCATTTTCGTCCGTTGTCAGATCGGTTAATAGATATTATATACACTAACATAATTTTGTTTCAGATATATGAACAACAGACAACTGTCATAAAATGCATAGGATAAGAATTCCAATGAAAGATGTTCTCTAGTGTAAGTATCTTATTTATGTAATACTTATATTTAAAATTTATTACATTTCATATTGAATTTTTTTTTTAGTCATATTTTGTTAGTTTAACTAAGCTATTTAACTTTAGTTTTGTTTTCGCAATAAGACTTATCCCCAATTAAACTTTATTTATGATTGTGCGTTGACAGTTGAAACATGTATGTTATACATATGTCTACTTCTAATATGAAATAAAGTAAATAATCAATTTGAAACTCATGATTAAGTGCTGTCTTTTACTTTGAATGCATTTAATTAACGATTATTAATACATATAGCGAATAACGATCGGTTTTTAAGCAATAATAAAAAAAAATCTAAGATTATATAGTTTCTAATAAAAACAACTTGAAATTAATGTAAATGAATACAACCACCAAAAATTATAAGATATATGGTTAAATAATGTATTTTCTGTTTTGTTTTATATTGTTTTCTATTAACATATATATTTTCTTCTTTACATAATTACTATTTACAAATGCCTCGAGGCAATTTTACCGAAAATTTGTATGTCATATAACACGGCAATATAACGTTCTATAACAATTCAGCTAATCCTTGTAAAATCATTTTAAACTTGATTTCGACCCTTTATTTTACTTTGTAACTTTGTGTTTACCTTACCAGATACTTTATATCGAGGTTTTTACAATACTTTTCTTTTTACTAGAAATAGAGTTTATAAACATTTCATTATCCGAATCATTATCATCAGCCATTGAATCTGACTGAATAGCATTATATGCTGCTTTGTGACTGAGGATTGCTATTTACTTGTATGGAATTTGAGTCTGATAATTCTGATTCAGTCTGCGATTGCATTTCTTCTGAATGTGCATTACTTTGAGCTATTGTCATTATTTGAACTTTGTTGTTGTTGTCGAGATGTTTCTGTAATTCGGCTAATGAATAATCATCTTCACTTCAGATTTGACCTTTTTTTTTCTAACATTCTTAGCGAACTTGGCCAAAAAAAACCAGGTAATACTGATTCTTATAATTTCTGAAGCATCATCAGTATCGCTTTTTCAGGTGTTACTACAAATGTGGCATTTCTTTTTTGGTCTCGCAGTATCATCTGCTTTTTGGTATTGACCAGTCATTAAATTTGCGAAGCCTATTTGTTCGCGATGGACTTTAACTGTTGAATTGTCAAATGTTTTTTTTATATAGTTAATGGTGACCTTTTCTATAATTCTATAAATGGTTCATTCAATCTTGTTTGCTTCTCATTACGAAATCTTATAAATCGGGATCGCTATTTTTCAAATTGATATCTTTTGCGGTCTTATTGCATAACTAGTTTTCGCGTTTAGCTTTTTTAAGGTTCTTATAACAGATAGAAAGTTTATGTTGTTCTTGTAATGCATTTGTGTACTCTTCGCCTGGGTAGCGCTTGCCTTGGTTGTGCAACAGGTCAACGGGTAATTTGGCCTCACCAGGTTATTATAACAATAAATGGCTTATGCTTTGAAGTCCTAGAGACATTATCTAAGTGCGGCTAGTGTTCATGTTAGATGAATATCCCATTGTTGAGATTTCCCTGATTTTTTAGCTAAGATATATGTATTGCATGGTGAGAGCGTTCTTTTTCGCGCCCTGCGTTCCCGCAGATGTGGTGTTGTACGCGTGATAATTCTTACTCTCTAAGTGTTTCTTTGAAGAATTACTTTGTGATTCTGATCTATGTCACAGTGACAATTTGTATGGGCTTGCGGTTCTAGGGGTAATTTTCTTTATAGTAATGTATAATTGTTCAGTACTTTTGGTCGCAGTAGGGATACACTCGGGTACACTGTAAAGGTCAAATAACAACAAATAATGTTAGCGTTACAACTCATTGTTTTCTCATAGGGCCCAATAACGTGTTACTTCATAGGTTGGATGATACATTGGTACATTGTTCGCTAGGTGCTTTTATTTTGAAGTTCAGTGGACGACATGCAAAATTTGAGAACTATTCTACTTCTTGTTGACTTTTTGGCCAAAATATTTTTGTTTAAATTGTTGTAATAACCTCTTGTGGTTCTGGGTCATTATTTAAATGATATTGAGTCATGCACAGGTGTTTTAAGTGTTGCGGAACAAACAATCTAAGATTAGGATTATCATCTACATTAGACAGATAATAAAGAACTTGGTCAATTTCTAAATATATTGCTCTGCACTGATTTAGTTGGCTGTCCCGTGACGTAGTAACATTTTCAGTTCAAGAATAGTTTGATCTTTATCTTGCTCTGAGGCCATATTTAAATTTTTCGAATTGTTTAATATCTTCTACAATTGGCTCTTGAAATTGGTATTCTTGTTTGCTAATTTCTTTGGCATTAAAGTGCGTAGAATCAAAAGCATTTACTTCATAGCTTTCATCAGTTTTCAACAGCATGTACATTATCATTATTTGAAATTATTACTTGAATTTGAGACTGTTATTTCGAAAGGCATTGTCATTTATATCAGGCTCATAAAGTTCCAATAT